CCAGCCAGCCCGGTCTGGCACGGTGCTGGCACTGTATGCTGCAGAATGAAAGACGCCGATGTTCAAGGAGAGGCCTCTTTCCTGTGCCCTCGGGACCTCCGTTCCAACTCAGTCTAAAACTCCACCACACAGATTCCGTTCCCTTAGACCATGACACGTCTAGGAGTCTTCTTTGTAAAATAACCATTTCACCTGACAACACAGTCAACCACGATCTCCCCCAAACCCGTGAGCAGAGATGATCACTGGGGAGTGAACCAGCAGATGGAGGACCTCTCTCCTCTCTCTCTCCTCTCTCTGACTCTGCCTCTCTCTGTAACTCTTTCAAATAAATAAAATAAATCTTTAAAAAAAAAGATAGTAGCTTCCTTAACAAAACATTAACAATCTGTATCTTGAATTTATATACATATTTAAATATATATATATATATATATACATGCTATATGCGTGTGTGTGTTGCTGTGTATTCAAGAGTGGCAAATCTTGGAGTCAGTTTTTCTTAGAGTGTCTGTCCCCATGGCTGTGGTCTCCTTGCACAGGTAGGAAGGCACTATCCCTTATCAATTTGAAAGTTCTGTTTCTCTGATCAATAGATTTTATTGGTCCTGTCTTATGCCCCATAGATGCATGTTTTGTGTTATCTGTTGTGGCCATAATAACTGACTATAAACTCAGTAGCTTAAGCAAGACAGATTTTCTTTAAAAAAAAAAAAGATTTATTTATTTATTTGAAAGTCAGAGTTACACAGGGAGAAGAGAGGCAGAGAGAGAGAGAGAGAGAGGTCTTCCATTCGCTGGTTCACTCCCCAATTGGTTGCAATGGCCAGAGCTGCGCCGATCTGAAGCCAGGAGCCAGGAGCTTCCTCCGGGTCTCCCACGTGGGTGCAGGGGCCCAAGTCCTTGGGCCATGTTCCATTGCCTTCCCAGGCCATAGCAGAGAGCTGGGTTGGAAGTGGAGCAGCAGAGACTCAAACCAGTGCTCATAGGGGGATGGCAGCACTGCAGGCGGCGGCCTTACCCATTACGCCACAGCACCGGCCCCAACACAGATTTTCTTATAGTTCCTTAGGGTTAGAAGTTCACCTCTGGACTCACCTGAGAACCAGGTGTTAGGAGAGCTGCGTTCCTTTCTTCAGGCTCTGGGGGAGAATGGCTTTCCTCGCTCATTCATGTTGGTGGGAGAATTTGGTTCCTTGAGGTTGTGGGACTGAGGCTTCCGTCAACCGGAGGCTGTCCTTGGCCCCCGGGGGCTGCTCTTAGCCTTTGCACATGGCTCCCATCTTAGAACCAGCAATTAAGGACTTATTCCTCCTTAGGTCATCTCTCAGCCACTCTTCCATTTTCCTCTTCTACCTCTGAGGACTCAGATATTTCAATTGGGCCCATGAGGATCATCGCCCTCTCTCAAGGTCCATAGTCTCAATCAATTCTGAAAAGTCCCTTTACCATGCAAGGGGACGTATTCACAGGTTTTGAAAATGGCAGGGTCAGTATCTATGGGGAATCATTATTTAGCCTCAGCACATTGTCCCTAATGCCTTGGCCAATGATGTGGACCTACCCCAGGATACCCTCGCTGGGCTCATTTTTCCATCGCCCCTGTAGTCAAGCTTACATCCACGCTTAATCTCATGTTCCCCTAAGTAGGACTAACAGGCACTGTCAGGGCACTGTGCAACCCTGGGCTCCCAGAACCTCTCCCTTCCTCCTCTGCTTTTCTTTTTATCCAAAAGAGTAGTAGCTGGAATTTAAACCATTCACATTCAACCTCAATGGGATGCCAAAAGCTAAGTTTATCTGAATGTAGAGAATTGAAGACTTCCTTGTACTTTTCTGTATGACAGTACCCAATGGAACATAATAACAAAATCCTCAAAGCACTAAGCATAAAGGCGCACCGTCCTGTGATAACTCAGCATTTGTTCCGGTGTATGGTCTCTCAACCACACCCAATTTGGCCTCGACTGAGAACCTGTCTGTATCTTATTTGTACTGTTTCTTCCAAGGGCAGGAAAACCTCATTTTTCATCTCTCGCCGCGGTGCTGAGAGAGAGTGGGCAGGGCCAGGAGAACCAGGCACAAGAGTTCATGTGGGCCAGACAATGAGTCAGTATGAAAGATGATAAGGGAATGTGGACGATTGCCAGAGGAGGGAGAGGACCCGCAGGACTGGGGCAGGAAAGGGCTGAACTTCCGGCCCTGGGCCCGATAGGAGACGCAGGCCGGGCGATCTGGGCTCAGACGGGGGTGCAGAGGAGAAATGTTGCTAACGTCAGAAGCACAGAGTACACAAAGACTAAGAGCTAGCTTCGGCGGGGCGGGGGGCGGTCAACAGCTTTGGGGCTCCGCCTCCCTCTCTTGCTTGCTCCCGAGTGGCCCCAGTTGTCAACAGCAGCATCTTCTGCACAAATACCAGCATTGCCCAAACTAAACAGTGCATCGGGAGCCACCCTGGAGACTCCCATGGAAACACTAGTTTTACAGTACGATGAAGCTGCCTCAAGAGCGTCAGGAGGGACCTCAAAGATTTGTGTGTTCACTCACGTCCTAAGATTCCCTTTGTCCACCTTCCATACCGGGACACCTGCTTGTTCAGTACCCTTCTCGTACAACAGGGCCTGAAACTTTATTGTAAATTCAGTATGGAAACCAGAATCAAGAAATCCTGGAGTTCTTCCCCTAACTCCACCCTAGGGGCCATTCAGTTAAAGTTTGTGTGGCGCCCTGTAACAGAGTTGAAAAGAAAGTGCCTGGTTTTTGCTTTCTGTTATAACACTGCATCCCCTTCCAGTAACCTCCACGTCGTCTCTGCTCTTGTACACCCCAGAGAGTGTCCATAGGAAGGGTCTCACGGTTGGCCAACCATTGTAAAAAAATTATTTTCCTTTGAGAGCTACAAAAATTGGCACAGAAGTGAGTTCCTGGTAGACAGGAGGTGAGCTCTTCCTGTTAATGGTGAGACACGATGACCTGCCTCGATAATGAGCCAGAACTCTTGGATCATGTACCACAAGTGTGGCCCCGGGTTTAACATGGTGGACTGGTCATCGGCCACCTGAGCTGCGGCTGTAAATGGAATCCCACGGTCAGCACCGTGATGAACCTCGAGGGGTTCACCACTCCCTGCGGATGTGAAACTCCTACAGGCGCTCCTCCTGTTCAATCAGGAACTCAGAGACTCCAAGACTTCTTGGGAAGTCATGTCTAAGGATTTCTCTTTGTGGACCTGACTGGCAACTTCTTTTGAACTTGAGGCCAGAGCAACTTTCTTTCTTCGGCTATGTGATGTCCAAACATCAGCAAAAATGCAGAAGTATCTTTTGAAACCCATTAAAATGTAGTCCAAACTTTAGTCTTCATTTCAGTCTAAGATAAACCCAGACAAACAGCAAAACTGCAAGCATGCTAAGACCCCATTGCCTTGGTTACTAAACTGTGCAAGAATTTCCACATTTGTCAGATCATTTGCGTTAGTATGGATAACTGTATTCTTGATGCTATCCATCCTATAAACTGTAATGAGTAAGGCTGTGGGGTAGAAAGTGCAACAGTCTTTAGTTTGCTTCCCTGCTCCATCCCTTGTCTCAAGGATAGAGCTTGCTCTTCAGACCAAGGATCAGTTTCCCGTTCTGTAAAAATAGGAACAACCACAGCTACTTGTTGGGTTGAAGTAAGATGTTTACACGGGGCTACACTGAGCACGGTGTCTAACTGTGGTACACTCTGTGCATATGAGGCGTCTTCATCACATCTGTTAAGAAAAGATCTATGCCATCAACGATGAGTCGCGGGACGCTGTGCCTTCTCCAGCTTCTTATTTGTGGGTATTTAAGGACTTTCTAAAACGTCCTTTCTTACCTCTTTTGGAGCAGGCAGGAAACACAGAGTGATTAGCACAATTATCCCAGCCAGACCCCGTATAATAAGTAGATGTAGGGCCAAAACATTGGCTTGGATGCATTTGCCTGTATAATCTGAGGACGACTGTGCTGTATAAGGTCAGGAACGCAAGGCCTACAGAAACCCAGGGGGTCCAAACAGCCCTGGAATTCAGCCATCACAGCACAGAGATCTCAAGCCAATCTGCTGGAGTCCAGGCAAAGCCACACTGCCTGGGGGAGCTGAATTTCCCGGGCAGAGCACCTCCCTGGCCCTGGACCCCTCCCGGGAGAGTCCGCCTTGACGAATACACATTCAAGGACCGGGAACTTTGAAATACGGAGCAGTTTCGCAAGCCACTCGCTGGGCATGGGACTTGGTTGGGGAGGCCCAGAACTTCCTGGCAGGCTTTTAGACCTCAACAATAAAACCCATGAACCCCACCGAGTGTACAGAGAACCCTCCCTCCTGAGCTGAACTTCCCCTATAGAAGGAAGCGGTGAGCCTCCACCCACATTGTAGCACAGTGGTCTCCTTACACAGGACACAGCCACCGGCTTGGAAACGTCTCGATTCCAGGGCTTTCCGTGGGCAGCCCTTTGGTGAGTGTCTCGCCTGTCGAATTCCTGTACAAAGGGAACTTCCCAATTGACAACTCAACCAGAAACGTATCCTTGGGGTGGGGTGGATTGTTCCAGAAAGCACGGAGGTTGGCAGGCGTCTCCTCCATCCTGGGACCGAGGCATCGCCTGATACTGCCCTCAGAGCCACTGCTCACTGAGTAATCATTGTGCGGTTCCAAATCTTCTTCCGGAAAGTCGAATGGGGTCAGACAGAGATGCCAGCTCTGACGAGAAGCAGTCCGCTCCTAATACTGCCTGACCAAAGTGTGGCACGGTCCCCAGCGTGTCCATGCACTGTGCACTATGCTGGCTGCACCAAAGCCATCTGCCTCGCCACACAGCAGGAGCAACACTGGCACCACCAAAGCATGGGGCGGGGCTTCCCCGCCTGGCCAGCCCTGGGCCAGTATCCGTCAGTTCTCCCTGTTTCCTCTGCTCACCTCCTTTTGCTATAGCCCAACCTCCTCCCAAGGGATTCATTCCTGTAACACTCAGTGCAGAGAAAAGGGCTTTACTTGGCGACTTTGGGTTTGCAAGACCGTTGGTGAACAATCAGTCTGTCTGGCAGGAAGGTACGCCCACAAACGTTGCAGGGAACCAACTGGCTCTGGGCACTTGTCCAAGCAGCTTCGTGTAAGGCATCGAGGTCGTAGAAACCTTTGGCTGGAAAGTTGAAGAGAAAAAAAAAGGGAACAAAAAGAAAAGAATTAAAAAGAAAGAAAGGAAAAAGGTGAAATAATGCATTGGTTTTCATTTTGGAGAACCACATTCTACTCTTCATGGAAAATATTTTCAGGAAATACCTGTTGCCTGAGGCTTTTAAACAAATCATAGTACTTGTGCCAAAAAAAAAAAAAGAAAGGAAAGGAAAGGACTGTTCGCTCTTTCAAGGGCTGAGCAAAGTTAGCTGTGAACCAGAGGCTTGGGTCTTCGAAGGGGATGCCATTGTTTTACGTGTTATGAGATGCATTCTTTGCTAATTATTAACATCTTTGCTTACACATGATTATCCTGCAAATAGAACTTTTGGCTTTCTCTCAGTTGACTCTAAATATAAGCTTACTAAGAGCAAAGAACATGTATTTGTATTTTTCCTCTTCTGTAATCCTTCAGTGGAATGCTCGCAGAGGCCAAAACTGCCAGCAGAGAGTGAGTTTAAGAGGAATTACAGCCTCAGAATTTATCATCTCTTCATGGCTATAAACTCAGAGATTCTTTAAGTAATTAAAGTAAAGAAAGCAAACAGAATAGTTAATCTGAGGAAAAGAAGCGCCCTTAGGAAAACAGCAGAGACAGCTGAGAAATGTGCGATTCTCATTGGCACGGCCTGGGGGAAGGCATGCGGCTTGATTTTAGAGAGACCATGTGGGATTTAGCTTTCACGACCTTATTGAAATCGAAGCACTAGTACATCAGATTGACTATGGCTTAGAATCGTCCAGCACCGGCTCTGTACGTGTAACCAGGCACGCAGAAACACATTTCTTAGTTTTAAGCACTGGCACAATGATTACATCCCAAGCAACTCTTACATGATGGCAATGGCCCACATGACCACAGGAAACTGTACACTGCTTAGCAAGCCCACTCCTAATATTCGGTTTCCTTGGCTCTGTGGGCATTGAACCCCAGCACAACCTAGCAGAAACAGCTCCTGTCGACAGAGCAGCGTCACTTTGCAAGCAGGATGTAAACAGGAGCTTTAAACCGCTGGTGACGTTTGTCATCGCTCTATGGGTTTTAACCTGGGATTCAGACACTCCAGAGCGGCCCTTGAGTGTCACGTGAAGATGACTGACCGTGTCTCCACATGTTTGACGTGGGGCGTTGACACCGGATCTGCCTGAGGCGTTATCTGAGTGCCTGACTGCTGCGTGAGTCCCTAAGACGGACATAGCAAGGGGAAGAAGGCCAGCTTCGGAGGGAAACACTATCGTGGGACCAGGAGGCAGACTCCAGGGAAGTGCTATTACAGGACCTGGCGTTTCCACCTGAGAGCAGTGAACCCAGCAGGGGGTTCACACCTGTCACCCTGCCACCTCTTGAGCCTGTGATAATGACGGTCAAGCCATCAGAAGGGAAGGAAACGGATCTTTGACACCCGAGGAGGATTTCTGGGCAGAGAGTTTCAGTGAGGCAAACCACGTCTCTGGCCTCTAACGTGCCTCCCAGCCTTCACGTCTAAGGCTACAGAAGGAGAAGGAATGAACAAGACACGCCTCTTAAACTCCAGATTTTTCTTGGAGAAGAATCAGGGATCAGCTGAGAAAATGAAGAAGGTCAAAATCTGCTAAGTGGCACAGCCCGCATGGCAAAACCACCCTGTGAACATGCGCAGCCCCTGCACGGGGAAGCAGACGGCTCCGTGGTGAGGCCACGCGTGGCAGCCTGTTCCCTGGTTCCTCTGGATTGCCCAAGGCTTCACAAATTAATAACAGAAAGAATTTAACAAGTCTGAATGCTCCAGAGAGATGCCTGGATCTGGTTACTTTTACTTTATTGAAAGAGATGACCACACTGGGTTAAGTTTCTTAATGATAGCACCAGTTAGAACTGGGCAGGTGGCTGTCTGCTCAGAGGGAGCCAGTGCTGTTCGACTCAGTACAGTCCTGAGCCTCCTTTGATTTTACACATGGGCCGGTTCATCCAACTTCATAACGGGACTAGTAAAACCTCAGACATCGGAGTTTGATACTGCTCTGCTCAGTGCACACCAACACACATTCCTGTGTAAAAACACGACTCTGGATGTCTCCAAAGGGATTTTCAGCTTCATGTTTTTAAGTATCACTTGACAACAAATGAAGGTAACTTTGGGGAACAACAGTAAATTCCAATGGGTGCTTGTCATGCACAGTGGTGCCAGGACGCGGCGTCCCTGTGTCTCAGGACCCGAAGACAGCACTTCTGACAGATGTTCCAGAACTGTCTGTCCCATTCGGCTGTCACCAAAGCAGTCAGTGTTTCTGCCTGAAGTTGTTTGAACAAGTAAAGGAAATCTTTACTCCTACGTGTTTAGGGAGAAGGGTTTTCCACTCAAATCTTTTTTGTTCTAGAACTTACCGGTAATGGTCCTGACCTCTGGTTTTTTAGGTTCTGGTCTCCTTAGTTCTTTAGGCAACAGGTTGTTTTCATTGTGCCACTTTTTCAGACACTGTGGCTCGTGGATGGCAATAGATTTTGTTCCATACTCACGACCACAGATGTAACAAACAACTGTTGGTGGACGCCTTATCATTGTTGGCTGCAAGTCATAGGAAATACAGGTTAGACTAACTGTAGATTTAAAAATTAACTTTAAAAATTATAGCACACTCAAATTCACTAGAAAATCAATATGACCTTTAGAAATCCGAATGAATCTGTGAATTCAACCACTTTGGTTATGAAGAGACCAATGGGTGATATCTGATTGGGGTGGAAGTGAGGATGTGAGTTTGGGAGCGAATAAATCAGAAATAACCAGAGTTCTGCATATAGGCACTGTAGTAAGATGTATTTTCTCATTTAATAAATGTGGATTGACTGTCTTCTGACTACCAAGTCCAAGTTACCATGCTGGGAGAATGCAAAGATAAATCAAGCAAGATTCTTCCTCTCAATAATATCAGGCTCTAGTAGACCAATATGCCTGAGAAATAAAGCAATAAGTGTCATTGCAGAGTTTCGAACAGGCAGTACAGTGCCCGCCCACATTTGCTCATGTCAACACTTTCGACCTGAAGCACCTGTGGATCTGTGCCCCACAGGCAGGGTAGCTAATCGCTTACAGATGAGCGTTGGTGGGAACATTCCCAGCCTCCTCACCAAGGCTGAGTCCACGCAGCCTATCGGAAGTGCTACTGGGATTGTACCACAGTTGCTACTCAGCCAATATTTAGTCTTCATTCTTTTCTTTGTCTCGTCTCCCATTCCTTTACTGGGGTATCCTGGGGTCAAATAAGCTACATGAACTCAAATCATTTTCTTAGTCTCTGGCTTTCTGAGGCAACTGATCCAAGGGAGAGTTGAAGATAAAAGGTGGTAGGGGATTCCAGTCTTTGTTACAGATACAACAAGACACTCTGCTTCCATCTACACAATGAGTACCCATCGGCTAGCCTAGAGAATGATAATTTTTGAGCCATTTAGAGTCAAAGTTGCAAGGAAAATTAGTGAACTAAAAGGACTGCCTAAGTTGGAGGATGAATCAACAAAACCAATAAGCAAAGCTCTCACACGCCAACCTTATTTGAGAATGAGACAGCAGTTGTCTGTCACAAAGCAAAGGGCAAAGGCAGGTGAGTGTGAACCCTTGTGAGGTACAGACTGCCAACAACTGTCTGTGTGTACTCTTCCACACAGCAGGTCTTATGCCCAGTAACAGGAGATAACAGTATAACCCTGGGGAGAGGAAGGCATGTTGAAGGCGACCTCCCCAACTCAGGCTGCCTGCATCTGAGGGCTGCAGCCTGAGCGGGAGCAGTGGGCCTTGCAGTGAGTTCCAGCCACGAGGAGCCTAGTGCTGAAACAGGGGTGGCTGTTCTTAGCAGAGACTTCTCTGTGTTGTAAAGAACTCAGGATGCAAGAATTCAGTAAGAGAACTGAGAGGAGCCCTAGGGTCTAGGCCTTATGTTAACAACAAGGAAGGGGCAGTTTGCCATGGGGAAATTCAGAACCCATCATGCATTGAACCTAACGAAAGCAAAGGCACAGTCCAAAGTAAAATATACACTAAACTGACACAACCACTTTTTCTAACCACTGGGCAGAAGAGACAGCATGCTTGTTTCTATGTCTAAGTAAAATATACCTCAGAATCTACCATTCGGTTACACACAATATCCAGCACTCAATCAAAATTAAAGAGCACCCACAATGAAACACACAGAATCAGAAAACAGGATCCAGCACCCATAGATACGACACTACATATAACCGGATCAAGAGATGGGGTCTCAATATTTATACTCCAAGGGCTTTAAAATACGTATTTCTAAATAATTGTTAGTAAATAATTAAAAAGATTCATTTAAAAATAATTCCACCAAATATATTAAAGGATTCAGGAGAAAACATAGATAGTATGTATGAATATATGGAACACTCTGGTAGAGAGATAAAAAGTCAAGGCAGAAATTTATTTTAAAAACCCAATGAGAAATGCTAAGATGAAAAATGATAGTATCTTGGAGGACAATCAATATGATGGACTTTTCAACTGAGGCTCACAGAGGAGAGACAAGAAACCTGAGACATGTCGGGAAAGTATCCCAAAGGTTACATAGAAAGGGGGAGGGGGGCATGTCAAACCGCTGGACATATAAATAAGTAACTACAGACCAAAAGGAAAAAATGAATGGAACAAAAGAAACAGATAAAGAGATGATGGCCGAGAACGCTCTGAAGTAAAGAGACTAAATGACACCGTCACAGTCTCTGAGAAATCCGAGGACAAATGGGAAAAAAAAGGGGGTCAAAAACCAAACCTGACTCACATCATAGAGAAACTGCTAAAACCAGAGAAGGGGCCTGCATAGTGGCCTCTGCCTGCGGCGCTGCCATCCCACGTGGGCATCGGTTCACATCCTGGCAGCTCCTCCCCCACCCAGCTCTCTGCTATGGCCTGGGAAAGCGGTGGAAGACGGCCCAAGTCCTTGTGTCCCTGCACCCATGTGGGAGACCTGGAGGAAGATTCTGGCTCCTGGCTCTGGATCAGCCCAGCTCTGGCCATTGTGGCCTTTTGGGGTGTGAAACATTGGATGGAAGACCTTCTATCTCTCTGCTCTGTCTCTCTGTAACTCTGTTTCTCAAATAAATAAATACAATCTTAAAAAAAAAAAGGATAAACTTTAAAGTAGAAAAAACAGAATTGATGCACACACATGGATGATGGAACAAGAATTATTCCCATGATTTCTCCTTAGGAACAGAAATGGAGAGAAGACTGGACGTGCCATTGTTCACGCGCTGGGAGAGGACAAAACAGTGCCATGCAGATGCCGAAGTCTGTATTCAGTAGAAATATCTGCAAACAGACGAAATAAAGACGTTTCTGGCCAGACAAAAGGTGAAAGAATTTACCCCTGACAGATGTGCTCCATAAAAATGCAAAAAAAAAAAAAAAAAAGAAAAGAAAAGAAAAGTAAATGCTGAAAGGAAAATATCCTCTTCAAATCAGCTTCTACGGGAAGGAATGGGACTAACAGAAAACTCAGAGAGGTCAACAATTAAAATGAAGTTTCAAAGCAGAGTCTCAATTTATATATATATATATATACACACTAAAATATAAAATATATATATATAGCTAAGTCTTTTACATTATGGACTTTTTAAGGAAAAATATTAAGTAAAATATGGAGTTTATAGTACATGCACATGGAATAAGTTATAATCAACAAGAGCACAAGGGTAGGGAATAAAATATAGCAACAGGTCATCAAAGAATTCTTAATATTTTCTTGGTAGTGGTTTTTAAGAAATAGAATAATGTGAGCTAAACCTGTGCATTTTGGGTTGAGCACTTAGTGTAGCGATTAAGGTGATGGGCCTTTGGAAGACCGTATCCTACATCCGAGTGCCCGGGTTCGAGTCCCAGCTTCCTGCTAATGTGACCCTGGGAGATAGCAAGGCTCACATAGCTGGGTCCCTGTCACCCATGTGGGAGACTTGACTCCTGTTCTTGTCCTGGCAGGCCACAGCTGCTGCAGGCATTTGAGGAGTGAACCAGTAAATCTCTGTCTATCTCTCTGTCTTTCAAATGAATAAATTTTAAAAACTTAAAAACATATCTATAAGTAAAAATGCATACTTCAATCTGTGTAGAAACCACTAACGCACAAAGGCAAAAAGACATAAAAGACATAATTTAAAGATGAATAGGGAAGGGACTGGCACTGTGGCATAGGGGGTGAAGCCATCATCTACACCTATATGGGTGCTGGTTCGGGTCCCGGCTGCTCCACTTCTGATCTGGCTTCCTGTTAATGTGCCTGGAAAAGCAGTGGAAGATGGTACAAGTGCTTGTGTCCCTGCACCCACGTGGGAGACCTGGATGAAGCTCCTGGCCCAGCCCTGGACATCGTGGCCATCTGGGGAGTGAACCAGCAGATGGAAGACTTTTCTTTCACCTCAGCCTCTCCTTCTCTGTAACTGCACATTTGAAATAAATAAATAAATATATAAATCTTTAAAAAATGAATATGGGAAAAAGAATCTTTGAATAAAAAACCTGATGACTTAATGAACCCCTGGAAAAAGGTGAGAAAGGAGAAATAAGTATAAAAGAAAAAAAGAAAGAAAGAAATGCTGAAGGGTGGTGGTGGTAGTGGAAGAATGAATAGGATTAGAACACCTAGTTGGTAGACTTAATCTAAACATGTCAATAATTGCAATAAACTATAAATAGACTCTGTAACACAATTAAAGTCAAAAATTGCTAGACTAGCTTAAAAAATGTGCTGCTTACAAGAAACACACATTAAGAACATCAAGATATAATCAGGTTGCAAAACGAGAGACGGAGAAATATATACCACATAAACACTAAGCCAAAGAAAGCCAGTGTGGCTTTGCTAATAACTGCAATTCATGGGTTAGAAAAGTTTATTTTTATGTTGTGAAGATCAGGGAAGGCTTCAAGGAGACAGAACTTGAAGAATTGGCAGAATTTAGACCACATAACCCTCTGAGGAAGCAGCAGGAACAAAACCTCAGGACCAGGAATCGTGAGCAAGTGTAGAACAGTCAACCATTCGTCTGCCTGGGGCTCAACGGAGCACTGGGCACTGGTACCAGGTAGGTTGCAGTCACGCTGTGGAGAGCATGAATGGCCTGCTAAGATCTGGGGTCTGTTTTGTAGATTCTAGGAAGCTGTATCAACTCTGCTTTGTGTTACTATAGCGAAACCCCTGAGGCCGGCTAACTTTATACAGAACAAAGGTTTGCTCTGGCACACGGCTCTGGTGGACCTGACTGGCTTGGTCTGTGGTAGTGGTAGTGGTTTTCCTGCTGTCAGAGTTGCTGCTGGTACAGGGCACCACACAGCAAGAGACAGGGAGGTTGTGTCTCTCTCTGATATCTCTAACTTTATAAGACTACTGGGATTCAACCGTGGGGGCGCCCACACTAACACCCCAATTCAGACTACTCACTTCCCAAAGATGCTACCTCCAAATACCACAACCGATTAAGTTTCTACCCTCAGCACAAAGAACACAGGATGTTGGGGACTAAGTTACATCAATTCCAGGGTCAAGTCGTATTTAAACCACAGCAGAAGCTACCAAGCTGGGGAAAAAATGAATCAGGCTCCCAGAATGTTAGTCTGGCCACATGCGGCTAGCAGGTGAGAGCCTACAAAGGCACTTTAAATAGTGAGAAACAGAATCAGAAGGTAAGTTTATTAGCATCCAAAAAATTTAAATTCATATGTATGTACGAGGGGTCTTCAAAAAATTGTAGAAAAATGTATATTGTAAAAAGAAAAACTGTACATGGATTTCAAAACTTTTTGCACCAAAATAAACTCATCTTTCAATTCCATTTGCCGTGAACTCTTCGAGGCAGCCTGGTATTTTTGAGAGCTTGAACATCTCTGGCTCTACAGTAAGGAAATCTTGGTTCTAAGAGAAGCCCAAAGTTTTATTCTGGGGGTGGGGAAGATGATAATGTCATGTAAAGAAAGGAGAAGATCAGGAACGGCAAGTTGGGCAAGTAGTAAAACACTGTGTTCTGAACCTGTTGGGTGTGACAAACTAGTAGAATTTAAATGTGAATAACTCCAGCCAGAACAGCAAGTATAGGCCTTCGATTCAAGGTTAATGGATTTCAGAGCTATGCACACAGAAGATTCTCAAATCTATGAAGCGTCCCGAGAAGGGGAGTATGCAGAGAGTGTACAAAGAAAAATTCCTATGAGGATGTCTATAGCAAAGATTGGCCAACAGCAGACATTGTAGCCAGAAAACAAAGACGTTCAAGTTTGCGGTGATAGAAGCAGGGCAGAGAGAGAAAAGATTTCCATTCTGGAAACTCTTTGGGCTCCCGGAGAGGAGAGAGTGCCAATTCTGCCAACTGTCGCAAAGAAGAGGCCCCTGGATTTAGTTGCCTCTATCGATTATGGACTGGTGACTTTGAGTTTAGTTTCACTACTCAGAAAATAAAGACTAAATTGCTAGGGGGTAAAAATGAGGTCAAAGAAAAGAAGAAGTGTTTTCAAGAAGCTTCTTTACTGAGAAATAAATGACGCTGAAGATAAATGACGCTGTTTTGTTGCCTTCTGCAAGATAGGCGTGCCTCAGGCAGACCTGAGACACTATAGACCCAGCATAAAACAGGAAGGTCACTAGAGAGAGGCCTCAGAGGAGGAGCAGGTGGGGTCAAGGCTGCAGTGGAGCTGTGAGGCTTTGCAGAACGGGACGAAAGGCGAGTGGATGAAGTTAGAGGAAGTGGGGAATGAACGGAGCTTTCGTGGGTAGCAGGCAAAGCAACCTTCTGAGAAAGAAGCGACGCAGGCTCTGGGCAGCATGCTAAGGGGAAACGCTGGGACAAGGCACGGTGGGGCGAGTGAGTGTGATTCAGTCAGGGAGGACATTCCCTCAGTAATGGAAAAGACCTACGTCGGTGGAGCTGCAAGAAGTGTCAGTGGAATTAAATGACTTTTCAATATGTTCTTTAGTTGCACCGTGAGGCATGAAAACAGAAACAAATTAAGCTGACGGTATGGTTTCCTTTGGGGAAATAAAACATGGTAAAATCTGTGTGTTTTACAACCAGTCTGCTCTTAACTGGGACTTTTGGGAGTTGCACCTGAAATGGAGAGAGCAGAGAGAAAAATCAAAATAAGAAGGAAATGCATTCATGATTCCTGCCTATCAGTGGTGAAAAACAGACTCTGGAGGAGAAAATACGCAACGAATGCAAACTAAATGGAAAATGGAGCCGCTCCCTGGCGATCCAAGTTTCTATAAAAGTGTATTTTTTGAGGTAGAATTCTTTTTTCTATTATTCCACGCTAAACTGTGCCAGCAGATTCTCTCCATCTATCAAAATAGCTTCAGAGTTGTTTATCCGTTCTTTATATTAGCTGTGTGGCAGGTCAAGCATCAGAAAAAGTGGCTTTAGAAAAATACTTGGGGAACTCAAGACCTAAGAGAAAGTCTAAGGCATAAGCAATATTTTTCAAGACATCATCCAACATTTTTGTACGACTTCTTGCATGCTTATTTACTTGAAAGGATAATTAAATGCAGGCTTTATAGTTACAAATGAGAAGTTACTCTTTTTTTACTTTGGGAACAGTGAATTTATTAAAATTCCACACCGAAACCAGGAGCCAAATCCAGTATTTTACCAAGCCAATCAGCAAAATAAATGGCGTGGTTTAGAAATGAAGACATCCACGTCACGTTGTCATTGTTGCCTTTGGAAGCAAAGGTTAGGAGGAAACAGGCAGACACAGAGCCCAGGGGACATGCGCAGGACTGAACGGGCTGTGGGACAAAACAAGAAGCAAAGAAAGACTAAGACGTTGTATATTACATCTCCCACAGCTTCTTCCCTGCTCTGTACTTGTGGCTGAACTTTAGTTGAACCCTCACCCTACTCCATCGTCCTAAGCTTTGACTATCTTCCTCTCTACGCAATGTTCTAGGGCAGTGCCAGCAAGCCAGCCACAGCCCACGAGCAAATGGCATCCTCACGGGTGTGAGTGCAGATAAGAACACTAGTTGTTCTACTTTGCAGTGCTTTTCAAGTCTGAGACTTCCAGGGAAAGCTGGCAGCCTCCAGCCAGCGGTTTTCGCCACTACCCCTACTGCTGTGGTTTGACTCTGCGGCCTCCTTTCTCTAATGTTTTCGAATAGAAGTGGATATTTGGCGGATGGACAGAAGGAACGGCAAGAAGAGACCGCAGCCCTGGCAGGACCGGCCGAAGGCCCCCTCTTGGATGATGTGCAAGCCAATTGCTTCCAGAATATGGCAGAGCAGAGCGGGGCAGCTCCAGGTTGGCTGAAGGGGTCAGATGAGGAGAGGGGGCCCTGTCTTGGTGAGGCCCTTGCTTGGGCCAGGCAACTCCAGGAAGTGTAGTCAAAGCAAGGCAGAGAAGTCAGTAAGCTGAGATCCGTGCAGAGTGAAGGCTAAGATCAGCAGTTTTCCCGTGAACATTTTAGGTAGTATTTTAGCAGTGCGACACTGCTGATCTAACATCAGGGTAACAGACTTCGAAAAGGGAGCAGTGTTTAATAGTTGACACTCACTGCCCTCATCAGGGAACTTGGGTTCCAGTCTTGGCTCAGGCTCCTAACTCCAGCTTCCTGGTAACAGAGACCCTTGCAGGTGGCGGTTATGGATCAAGTATGCGGGTTCCTGCCACCCACGTGGGAGACCTGGACCAAGTTCCCAGAGGAGTGGGTTTTGAGTTTTGCGAAGTGAACCAGCCGATGAGAGCACTCCCTGTCAGTCTCTCCATCTGTCTCTGGTTCTCTCCCTGTTTCTGTCTCTCAAATAAGCAAAAAAATTTTAAAAAGACTTTTGAAATGCTTATTACCATCTAAACTTATGTAGATAAGGTGTGGACCATGTTGTGGCAGGGCGGATGAACTGTTCCTATCTAAAGAAGTCCCTGGGGCTCATCACACTCTTGCTGTTGCCTTTTCAGTCCTGGGAAAGTCAGTTAGGCTGGATAGAGACAGGGCACTTAAACGCTGTGGGGAAAGGTTTCACTTGTCTGTAGTTCTTTTTACTGGAATCCACTGACTTCTCATATGTTTTCAATAATTTTCCTGGCCACTATTGGAATTATCTTATTACTTAGCCCACAGCCTCCTTCTCTCTCTACTCAAGTCTCTTTTCTGTCAGGAACACCACGGCTGCACCGTTACTGGCCAGGTCTGTGTAACAGGAAGGGAAATAGACATTTAACACATTCCTTTCCTAATCAGCATTGTTGACCTGCCATCAATCATCTGCTTCATTTTAAAGATTTTTATTTATTTATTTGAGAGGCGGAGTTACAGACAGAGAAAGGTCTTCCATTCGCTGGTTCACTCCCCAGTTGGCTGCAATGGCCAGAGCTGAGCCAATCTGAAGCCAGGAGCCAGGAGCTTCTTCCGGGTCTCCTATGTGGGTACAGGGGCCCAAGGACTTGTTCTATCTTCTGCTGCTTTCCCAGGCCATAGCAAGGAGCTGGATTGGAAGAGGAGCAGCTGGGACTCGAACCAGCACCCATATGGGATGCTGGCACCATAGGGGGAGGCTTAGACTACTATGCAAAAGTTCAGGCCCTGTCACTCAACCAGTGTAAAATAGTTGTAATAGCAGCATTAATGCAAAAATAAAGGAACAAGGACAAAGGAAGGAGGCTGGTTTGGTGAAAAGCCTTAAGGGAGATATTGGTAGAAGAGGAGTGGGATACCTACCCTGGATAATCTGCTTCACACAGCTTCAGATATCTCTTACTGGCCTCTCTGACAGCTCAGGCTAAAGGGAAACCACAGAGAAGTGCACAATTTAATAGCTAACAGAGCTTGCTGAAGAAAGTGTGGCAGTGTGGGGGCCGGCGCTGTGGCGCAGCTGGTGAACGCCCTGGCCTGAAGCACCAGCATCCCACATGGGCACCGGTTCAAAGCCCGGCTGCTCCACTTCTAATCCAGCTCTCTGCTATGATCTGGGAAAGCAGTAGAAAATGGCCTGAGTCCTTGGGCCCCTGCACCCACGTGGGAGACCCGGAAGAGGCTCCTGGCTTTGGATTGGTGCAGCTCCGGCCATTGTGGCCAATTGGGGAGTGAACCAGCGAATGGAAGATCTCTCTCTCTCTCTCTGCGTAACTCTGACTTTCAAATAAATAAATAATCTTTAAAAAAAATAAAGTATGACAGTTTGAAGGAAAAACAATTAACTACACTATTATTATTGCCTGGATTTTAATGAAAGAGATACTGAAGACTGACAAACAAGTCATTTCCAGGACTTTTATGAAGATCAGAAACACTGCACAATTGTTTGTTTCTAATATCAGCCTACAATAAATACTAAGTGTTGACAGTATGAAAGCACAATTATTTTTAAAGATTTACTTATAAATTTGAAAGGCAAAGAAGAGACAGATGTTCCATCTGCTGGTTCACTCCCAAAATGACTGCAATGGCCAGAGCTGGGCCAGTCCAAAGCCAGGAGCCAAGAGCTTCTTCCAGGTCTCCAATGAGGGTGCAGGGGCCCAAGGACTGGGGCCATGCTCCAGTGCTTTCCCAGGTGCATTAGTGCGGAGCTAGATAAGAAGTGGAGCAGCCGGAGTCAACTGGTTCCATATGGATACCAGCATTGTAGGCAGCAACTTAATCCTTTATACCAAAATGCTGGCCCCATGACAATACAATAGCATGCTATTCTTTATGGAAGGGTTAGGAGAACGTGTTCCAAGGATATGGCTTTTTGGAGATGTTGTGAACTAGAAATTAGTAACCAATGTTTATGGAATTATGGGTTCCTTTGAAAACCCAATACATGTTATAGTCACTTTGCCAAAAAAATGTCCATATATACAGAGTCATGGATATGACTTCAGTTGACTCAATGGACTCCCATTTGCTCCAGTATGTGAGCTCCTGAGTGGTTAGCCAAAGTCTATTTTTTTTTTGTTCATACAGTTTTTTTTGCATCAATTAAATGCCTTAAAATGTGCTGCACTGAAGCCCACAGGAACACACAATGCACCACTTCTGGTTTCTTGGACATCCTCCTCCCTGCTGCACCTAGAGTCGTCCTCTTGCACCTGTTGTCTTGGCTATGTGTAATAGCTTCTTCTTTTACTCTCTAAAGTGTCCCTATGTAGCCAATAAATACTATAGTCAGCCTACTTCTGATCTTCCTTAAAAACCTCTGATTAATAAAATATAAGCAGTCAAGGGCTAAAACAATAACAGAAGCTCAAAAATACAGTAGCTGTGACAAGTATTAACCAACTGAAACACAGAAGTAAGGCAAAAATAACTACAGAATTATAGTTAAAGGAAGGAATATAAAAGGAATATACTTTGACAGATAAAAATATTTTAATTATCAAAACTGGCAGGGAAGGAAATTGTAAAATGTTAATGATACACGTTCCTTACCAGTCATGTCAGTCATTTAAAGCAGTATAAAATTAAAGTAGGGAGTTAAATTCTTGAATTTCCATAATGAGCTTGTATCCTTTTTATAATAATAATGGAGTGACAGAAAAGAATATCAATTCAAAAATCAGAAGTTAGAAAGTGATTAGGGATTAAAGCCAGTCCTAAAGGTAAAATCAAGTCCAGCTCTATTACTTGCTGAACATTCTTTAAATAATTCATAAAGGAAATTTCAAAGATCATGTATGCAGGTCACTTCAGTATTGTAATCAATGAGTAGCTGGAACTAGAATTAATATTAGCAATGAATACAGCTTTGTTTACATAGCACAAAATGTGCTGTGATAGGACATACACCCTCACACCGGTTTCTGCCCCATCCAGGTCTTGACTCTCAGCTTTTGATACCCTTGGAATATCCTGGGGATACAGGTTGTAGCAGCCTTTTCTTCCTATTTGGTCTTAATCCCCAGACTCTGACACAGCACTTCCAAGATCCTTAGAATACCCTCAGTAAGAGTGATGTTGTGAGCCAATGAGATGACTGTTCCCTGGATTCCTTAGGCAGCTGCAGGCTGGGGGTTGGTCAATGGAAATACCAAGACATAAAAACTTGAGTTGGAATTTTCAGCTTGACCCCTTGATCTCCAGGGCAGAGAGAGTGGGGATTGAATGAACCAACCATTGCTAGTAATGGGACCTCCATGAAAACCCTAAATGAAAGGGCTCGGAGAGTCCCATGTTGTTGATCGCAGTGAGGCACGAAGGGTGGTGCCCACAGGAAGGGTACGGAGCTTCTGCCGCACCCCACATACCTTGCTCCGCTTACCTCCACACCTGGCGGTTCAGCCCTATCCTTTACAACAAACTGGTAACACAAGCAACATAACATCTTGTGACCCGGCTTCTGGGGTCCTTTTCAGCAAGTTATCAGCATGATGAGAGGGTCCTGGGAGCCATCATTTTTGCCAAAGTGGGCAGAAGTGTGAGTCAGGTTAGGACCTATGACTTACGACTGGCATCTGAAGAGGGAGGCAGCCGGGTGAGCCTGAGCCCTCCACCTGTGGAGTCTGCGCTAACTCCACGCAGTGAGCGTCAGAACCGGATTGAATCAGAACACCCACTTGTTGTCTGAAGGGTCAGAGTAGCGATTGCTGATGTGGGAAAACCCACACAAGTGGTGCCAGAAACATGAGCAGAGAAAGTTTTCCTCTTAAATGAAAACATTTACAGTATTTTAAATTATATGATTCCAACAATACTATTTATTTTGCTATTTGTTTATAGTGGAATACACATCGGCTAAATGCTTCTATGATGCAACTTAATTGAAATCCTAGAATTCTGCTCCGTTATTTTAAAAAGCAGCAACAAAGGCCTGGAAGAGCATACCATCTGTTTGTACCACAAGATAATCCCAAAACTCAGCTCTTCCAGACATTTCAAATTTGTTCAGCCTCTCTACATAGCCTAGATGCATTAGGTAAGAAGTGAACTCACAGACAGCTCTACAATGCCATACGACATTAGCCATCTTATGTCGAAAAGCAGTAACCAAAAGGCTAATCCAGTGGCTGGGTAGGCCAAACACTCCCTCGGGTACTCTTGCCCATTTTAGCCAGAATGACAAATCACCATGTAATTTTCAGCTTTCCAAGTGCCTTGTTGCTCTCTGTACTTGACTTTGTTTAATACAGACTTGATCTGACACAATCTCACTAATTTCTTTGGTTCTCCATGGTTACAGAATAAAGACCCAACACCTCATGCTGACTTCAGTCGTGCCCAATAGTTACCCAATGAAACAGAAATTCCAGCCACCCAGAGCTCAACACAGAATTCTTCATGCTACAGAAAACAGTCTTCAACCTTCCTGCCTCTACATCTTTATTCCTCTACTCCTTCCAGCAACAAGCATTTAGTTGAGTATAACACCTTTACTGCACTAGGGGTTGTGGGGAAACCTGATTCTCACCTCTCCTAGTTCAGGCGACAAACAAATCAGCTAGAAATTAAATTACAAGGCAAAGTTTATAGAAGCCAAGATGTGGGTATAGTGCCACAGGACCCTGAGATATGAGAAAGGAGAGTTTGACTAGAAGCTGGTGACGCGAGTGGTATTTGAAGTGGGTTTATTGAGGGGCTACATGAGGGGAGAAATTTGTGAACAAGAGGAAGTAAGCAAGAGGTGATCAGTGTATTCTACATAGGACTGACACATCAGGGATCAGACTTTGAGAACAGAGTCAAAGTTGGGTACCTTTTCTAAGTGTCTTTCCTCCCCCTCTTCTCACCTTGGTTCTGACACTCTCCTCCCATGATTCAAGGCTGGCCATGCATCAGGAGTAGAGAAGACATTGGATAGACAATACTGAAATGAAGAGTTTGCTAGACCAAAAAGGCTGCATTTGCCAAGTTAAAGAATTGTGTGTAGGACCAGCACGCAGGATGAAGATTTAATGCCTTTGAGACAGAATGAGATTAAGGAATGGGTCAGATTGGGCAATTTATAATTTTTATGTGCTAAAACATTCTCCCATGCTGGAGAAAAGCAAGCAGGTTCTTCCTGCATCAAAGCAGAGAGCACTCTGAAGTTACAGAACAAAGTACTTAAGTAACTACACACGTTCATGGACAGATCAACAAAGCGCACTACAGCCATTCCACGGACTATTGCTTTTGACAAGTAAAGACATTTGGTTCATTTTCAAAGTGAGGTTTTCAGCTGAAAATTACTAATAACGCCATCACAACAGCTTGCAGATACGTGGAATGTCACTAGCAGCTAGCTAGCGTAACAGCTAGGTTACAAGCCACAAAGAACTTGCACCCAGAAAGTCCTGAAATAAACAGGGTGTTGAGCAAGTAGAACTTTAGCGGTGGTTAACCCAGTAGAACTAAAACAAACGGAGATAATGGGCGACATCTGGGAAGATTGCAAGCTCGTAGTCTCAGCCAATGAGGAATACTCAGCCAACGTGCTAGAGAGTCCATAGCTTGCTGTAACCTGCCCTGGGTGTGCCTGCCTACCAGACCCCTCATCTCGCAAGACTATTAAAAAAAAGTCTCACTTTCACTGCACCTACTGAGTCCAAGTCCATTGTTGAGTGGGCAGATGAAGATATTTCTCACACTACCCAGCGATAAAAGAGAACTACCAGTACTTAAAACAACATGGATGAACCCAGAACCATTATGCTGAAAGAAGCCACACACAAGAGAATACAGACGCATGATTCCAACTTACATAAAACTGAAAGTAATCAATAGTGATCCACAACCAAATCAGGGGTTTCCTGAAGTCAGGTGGTAGAAGGTAGACTAAAGGAATAAAAGGAATTTGGGGATGTGATGAAAATATTCCATATC